AAAAAAATTCTTTCAGTGGGACATGGTTTACAAGAATAACAGTTTGCACTTTTTTATCACCTTTTTCTAATGTAGGCTTCAGAAAAACTTTATATTAACTGCTGCATGGAACAGTGTTCTAACTTAGACAAATTTGTATAATTCACCCAAAGAAGACAAATTGGATCTTTGAAAATGGCTTGAGTAACTCATACTTAAAAATAAATTTTAAGAGCTATACTAAAGGATAGAAGAGTTGAGATCCAAAGTTCATGTGAGCTCCTTGTTTTAATGCTAAAACATTGTTTAATGAAATATTCAAACATAGCCAGTATTTTCTATGAGAGTACATTTAGAAATACTTCTAGAGAGAAAATAGTAAACATCATTTTTTTCCAGAAGTGCTAATTTTGAAATGTGAACAAATTTGCTAAGTTTTTCATAATTTTATTTTTCTCATTTGTCAATCCATATTTTATACAGTTGGACTGTTAACCATCACCTTTGATACACTACACAGTGAAAAAACAATTATCCACAAAAATCCATATGTCCAATTGGGTGGCTGTTATAGCCCACCTCATTGTCTAGCCCATTACAAAACTGCTATAATTGTACCATGCAGGAAGTGTGAACAGCAGTTGAACCAATTTCTCTATTACCTTCATCCCTTTCTCCAACGTCAACAGCTTAGCTATTGTATCTACTTGATTCATCAGGTAAGTCAAACTATTAAGCAAGTCTCTAGTTGAGCACAAATAGTATCTTATGATACTGGGAATAATTACGTATAGTTCTATTGACTATCTTAGCAGGCCTGGACAGACTTCCCCAGCTTCATATTCTGAGTCAATATTATTTGGAAACTGGACAAATCTATAATCCCTTGGGTCATCATTTCAGAGTTATTTCTGTACTAGATTCCTCAAGCCTTCAAGTTGGAGAGCATGTCTTGAAAATTTCTTAAAAATTCAGAGTGGTATTCAGAGACACATCTGCCTTGAAAGTAGCCTAAATTGAATATATAGTACAGTCAAACTTTAGGAGCTGACAATAGGAAATATTTTGTGACATTTTGTATTATAAAATATTTTTATGTGACAATATTTTATAAAATTTTCCAAATTTTAATTTCATGGGAATCAAGGGCCCTGGATTTTGGACACATTCTGTGAGATAGCCCATTTAAGGTATCTATTTGGTTGAAACACTTTTGCCTGTGGTGTACCATTTCAGTTAAAGGTTATAGACGCAAGAGTTTTAGTAGTATATAGATTCTGAGAAGCCTAAATACATGGGAGGAGTCCTCATAATGGTAGAAACTGCTCTATATGTTAAAAAAAAAGATGAAATCTCAACAGTGGTAACATTTTTCAAAATA